AAAATGGTAGCAGTGAGTCTAGAACACAGGTCTTATGCTTGCTAGTACGTTGAACGCCTCATTTAAAAATATAAAAACAATAATACTAGATCAAAATTTGTTGATTTGAGCAAGATTACCCAACTGCAAATATAGGGCAAAAGGTTCCAAATATTTTATTTATTAAAAAGCAACCAAGAAACCAACTAGCCTATAAAAGAGTTTAAATTGTGATGAACCCTAGAAAAAGTCCTTTCACAATAGAAAGATTAGGTTCTAAGAGCAGCGAACTACAAACCCATTTATCCACAAATTGATGCCCATTAACAAAAATCCCAAAATATGTTTCATTTTCATCATATTTCTTCAACTTTGAACCATAAATGTTTCTCCAACAGTGTCTGTTGATTTTCTTTTTCTTTTTCCGTCTATTTGCATTTCCAAAGTTCAAATCCTGGTACCAAACAATTTTCACTCTTGTTTTCGATTTGTAGGGCACCAAGACTCGACCACAAAATCTTTCAGGCTAGGCTAATATGTAATTCATTATTAAAAAAAAAAATTATAAGGAAATCAGCCCCTGATCATGATGCCACTTTGGTATCCTAGTGATTGCACGATTTTCCCTATATTAAAAAGTGATTATGGTACTAAATATTCAGTTATTAATCGTATCGTCTGAGATACGAATAAGAATGAATCGCAAAGAGGTTGAATCGTTTGCAATGGGCCTTAGGAGTTAAAACATATAGTTCTTGAAAGTTTAAACTGCCTGTCTCAAAAGTTTCCTCTGTAATTCTAGAAGGTTTAAAAATCCAGCTATCTAGAATGACATTTCAAATGTCGACCCAAACATTTACAAGTAGCCAACATATCATACTCATGTCGGCATTGTAGTTTAAATGTTTAGATGGGATACATGTAATTTAATATAATGTAAGCACCTATTATTTCAAACCAAAATCTGCAAATTTGGTTCATATCATGCTGAACATCTAGTAAATATTACGATTTATCTTAAGTAATGCATTTCACACATATATACCATAATACATGCTAATCGTTGTCAACTCGAGACTCGGCAGTACTATAGCCGTCCATCTCCTCATCAGAGCTTATCATCATAACTGGTGGATGCGGTTGCAGGTTTGGTATATCATTTTCCGACTCAGATGAGTACTCCGAAGCAGATGACAAATCAATTGGGTCATGAACTGGTGACAATGGTGGAGATAGTGCGAGAACATGCATAAGGGAAGATGTTGGTGGAGCCATTTCATTCATGTTGGGAAATTGAATGGGTGATTCATTCAGTCTTCGTGAACTGGATACGAAATTTGAATGCGGTATTTGCATGTGAAGACATTGTTCCTGCAGACTTACATCTTGGTGCCCCATCTGCATCATCACCATTGTAAACATATCATATTAAAAAGAGAAAAAAATAACGTAAGCAATTTAATTATTTTCAACAGAAATAGAAATAAAATCCATATCATCCATATCTCAACAGTTTAACGTTACTAAAAACTGTCGATAACAACAGATGAGATACCAAGGCCAATCCGACACACCAATCCTTTCTTCACAATGATGAGGAAAATCCATTAATATTTAGAACTCTACCAAATTCAAATCTCCATCTATTAATTCATGTGCACAAAAGGGAATCCCAATCACCAAAAAATAACTAATTTTTCCCCAAATAAATAGAGACAATGTCTTACGACTGTTGAAGGGTGGTCTATGCAGGAGTCTGTTTTTAGCTGGAGGAAAATATTGATCCCTTTCCGGAGGTTTAGAGAGAAACATTGATATATTTGGGTTTCAAGGGAAAACCATAAGAATCATGAAGAGAGATAAAATTCATTATGATAATAGTGACGATATTTTTAGGAGAGTTTTTTGGGTTTGGAAAAATAGAATTATTAATCTCATACGCAAAGGTCTATGTTTAGATAAAAGAGTTACCAAATCACTTTTGAAATGAAAATACAAAATTGTAATTTACAATATTGTGTAAGGGAATTTTGTCCAAATTTTGAAATATTCCCATCTTTGCAAATGTTAAAGAGTTGGACATACTTCAAAATGAAAAGTGAAAAGTGGTCACTGTGATTTAAATTTTGTCTTCAACAAAGTAAATGAACATAACAAGGTTAGAAATCCTACCTTCATAATTACAAGAATTCAAAGTCTGTTTCAGAACTTTCTAAAATCATGTGGTCAGATGATGTAAACATCATACGAAATGATATCAACTGAAATCTATACAGAGAACGTAGTGGAAGAGGGTGACGATACATCAAAATCATGAAAATGAGGATCTC